TATTTCGAAAACCTCTACTTTCAAAGATTTTATAACACAGAGGAAATAGACAGATATCTAAAGCATATGAAGTACCAAAGCTAGGTCATGAAGATGTAAACCTACAGAATAACTCAAATTCTATTAATGAAATTGAAAACATAATAAAATTGTTACCTACAAAGAAGAGCCGAGGCCCAGACGGATTCACTGAAGAATTCTACAAGAAATATAAAGAAGACCTAATGCCAACACTCTGTAAACTCTTCAATGAAATGGAAAGGGAAGCAATCCTTCATAAATTGTTCCTAGAAGCAAATATTACTGTAGTACAAAAACCAGAGGAGGACCCAACTGAAAAAAAGAACTACAGAACAATCTCCCTAATGAACAAGGATGCAAAAATCCTCAATAAAATACTGGCAAATAGGATGCAGCAAATCAACAAGAAGATCATATATCATGACCAAGGGGGATTCATCCAAAGCATACTGAGATTGTTTAATATATGTAAATCAATAAATCTAATGCACCATATCAATAGAGCCAGAAGTTATAATCACATGATCATTAATATAGATGCAGAAAAAGCTTTGGATAAGGTCCAACATTCATTTATGATAAGAACCTTGCAGAAAATTGGAATAGATGGTCCTTACCTCAATATAATTAAGGCCAGCAATGACAAAACAAAAGCCAGTATCATACTAAATGGTCAAAAATTGAAGGCCTTTACTTTAAATCAGGCACAAGACAAGGATGTCCCTTATCACAGCTCCTATTTAATATAGTACTGGAAATAATGGGCAGAGCAATTAGACAAGACAGAAACATAAAAGGCATAAAGATAGGAAAAGAAGAAGTTAAATGATCAGTATTTGCAGATGACATGATACTTTGTATAGAAGATCCCTCAAGCTCCATTGAAAGACTCCTAGATATATTAATTCAGTAATGTAGCTGGATACAGAATCAATGCTCAAAAATCAATAGTATTTCTATACACTAACAACAAAGTCACACAGACAGAAATAAGAGAGGCCACACCCTTCACACTAGCAAACAAAAAAAAAATGAAATATTTAGGAATTACTCTCACGAAAGAAGTGAAAGACCTATACAGGGAAAATTATAACACACTGAAAAATGAAATTGAAGATGATCTCAGAAAATGGAAAGACATCCCTTGCTCATGAATAGAAAGAGTAAATATTGTGAAAATGGGCATTCTCCCAAAACATTTATTCAGAAGCAATGCAATCCCGATAAAAATACCATCAACATACCTCATAGAACTTGAGAAATCACCCCTAAAATCATCTGGAATAAGAAGAAACCTAGAATAGCAAGGACAATTAGAAGCAGCAGAAGCAAGGCAGGAGGTACCACAATCCCTGACTTGAAGTTATACTACAAAGCAACTGTAGTACAATCAACATGGTACTGGAATTGAAACAGAGCCAAAGATCAGTGGAATAGATGAGAAGATACAACCACCACTACAAACACACTGAACTCCCTTATCTTTGATAAATGGGCCAAACATGTTCACTGGAAGAATGACATTCTGTTTAATAAATGGTGGTGAAAAACTGGCTCTCCATATGCCTAAAACTAAAACTAGACCCATGCCTATCACCATGTACTAAAATAAAATCTAAATGGATCAAAGATCTAAATATTAAAACAGAAACACTCAATCTATTGGAATACAAATTGGGAAAAACCTTGAAAACTAGGAGTAGGTAGAGAATTGATGAACAGGACTCAAACCGCATGGGAAATGCTTCCCAGAATCAATCATTGGGATCACCTCTTATTAAAAAGTTTCTGCAAATCAATAGAAATCTCCAGTATAGTGAAAAGAAAACCCACAAACTGGGAAAATGTCTTAGTGAACTGCCCCTCAGACAGAGGACTTCTATCTAAAACAGATGAAGCATTTTAAAAAATGAGACCGCCAAAATTCAAAAACCCAATCCAAAAATGAGCATCTGAGATGAATAAACAATTTTGAGATGAAGAAATACAAATGACAAATAAATACATGAAAAAATGTTCACCATCAATGGTCATTAGAGAAATGCAAATTAAAACCACATTGAAATTTCATCTCACTCCTGAAAGAATAGCCAAGATCAAGAAAACCACAAACAACAAATGTTGGAGACGCTGTTGGGAAAAAGGAACTCTTCTGCACTGTTTGTGGGAGTGTAGACTGGTGCAACCATTGTGGACATCAGTCTGGAGATTTCTCAGAAAGCTGGGACTGGCAGCACCTTTTGACCCAGCTCTTCCACTTCTAGGTGTATTCACCGAGGAACTGAAAGCATCATTCCACAGTGATATATGTGCACCCATTTTTATAGCAGCACAATTTATAACAGCCAGATCTTGGAAACAACCTAAGTGTCCATCAACTGAGGAATGGATAAAAAAGTTATGGTGTTTTTATACAATGGAGTACTACTCAGCTATAAAGAATGATCACATTGACATATAAATAAATGGATGCAGATTGAGACCATACTAATAAGTGAAATAAATCAAACTCACATGTATAAATACGAAATATATTCCCTAGTATAAGAAATGATAATACATAGAAGTATGTGGTAATCATGATACCAAATCATATTGGTTTGAATCCATATAATGTTTTCACTCATTAAGTGCAAAGGTTTTACCCTGGGTTTTTTGATTTTATATCGGTGATAGTACGAATAGCTATTCTGAAGAAAATAACACATCATAAAAGCTAGTGCTGATTTAATATTCTCTTCTTTGGAACTCCCATCAAGCTGTTGTACATGTTTCCACTGGTTTTAACATGTTGTATCTTAATATATTTTACTGTATGTGATAGTATAAATAAAATTTTTCACAGGCAAAGAGATAATATAGAAATCATTGTTCATTTTCTGTTAATTGGCTCTAAATACCCTGTAATTTTTTCATTCTCTTGAATGGCTTCTCACTGTCTTGATATGATTGATTGTATAGTATACGAAGTTATACTCAAACAATTCAAGGAAAGAGGCACTATGGTGACTACTATTATGTTAGATTATCTGGTGATGAAACAAAATGGTGCTTTAATTGTTCAGTTCTGACCTGTGTTGTTCTATTACAATGTCTCTTCTATCTCGATCTCCACCCTTTTTAAAAAAATTCTATTTTTTTAAAGGAAAACTAGATTAAAAAATAGAGGGATATATTATAGTAACTTTTTTGTTTTCCTATTAACCTGATTTTTAACCCCAGTATTGCTCTCCCCATCTTGTTCTGCCTGATTTTACTATATTCTATTTTGTTTGATAGTATCAAGTTTGAGGGTATAGGCAACCACGATGTAGGAGATAAGATTTACTATGATGCCCATTATGGTTTGACTATTATCCTCTTTTGAAATCCAATAAGGTCTTCAGTGTAGATTTTATTGGTCTTGTTCTGTACTGTGTTGATCAATTCTATTATACCTGATGATATAGCAATTCTTTTTAAAAATAGCAAAAGGCACAATGGTAAACATTTTTGATCAGCTGATATTCTATTTTTGCGTCAAGTACTATGCCCATCATTATGTTCTAACCAACTCTGGTTTGTTAACTCACTTGAGGTTTTATTCTCTTCAAAAAAAGGATTAAGAAATACGGGAGTAAAAAAACCTCAAAAGTGTAATTGTTATTGTGAAGAAGAGAGGAAAGGAAGGTGGTCTAAGAGATATAAGTGCCTGTTTAAGTGTGTAGGGAGAAAAACATATTACTGAGCTTTGTTGGATCATTGAACGGAACTCTCTGCAATCACACTGTAGGAATGTTCACTTTATATGCTTTAATTTTATAATTTGAACAACTGTTTCTAAGAAGACAATATGTAACCTATTAACTAGGGATTTCTTACTGTATTTTTTCTTGAAATTCTGCATGATTTGTACCCTTTACTGCTTTGTTTTTTTATGTTCTTTTTTTCTCTTTAAAAAAATTAAACTGGAATTTATATCTTTTATTTATTTTTTGGTACTGGGGATCAAACTGATTACTTTACACTTGTCAGGCAGGAACTTAAGCCACTGAGCTAAATCCCCAGCCACCCAATATATATCTTTCACATCTTCTCATCTTCAGAGAAGTGGCCTCTACTCTTGGACTTGATGCCAGCAAGCATAAAAAATGTGAATAAAATCAGTCAAGGCCAAATAACATTCAAACAAACCAGCTTCCAATAAGATCAGTCATAGTAAGACAATGTAAGTAATACAGGGTTTCAGTTTTAGTTAATAGGAAATTAAGGACAGGGTCCATCATGGTATAACCTGCTATTTTTGGGTTACATCTCTGTGCCCTCAAATCTATTATGAGTAGACAGACCAGAACAAAATATAATCAAAATAAACAAAGCAACAGAACTACTATAGCTTTTAAATCCTGATACACTTTTAACAATGTCCTCTGCCCTCTTTTTTTAGGCAATTCCTCACCTTTCTCCTTCTCAGGATACTATTATTCACTGTTCAGAGTATATTAGTTTAGTCTCTTATGTTCAGTTTCAGCATACATAAAAATAAAGACATCTACTACGAAGAGAATGAGACACATTATGGTAATCATCAACTTCCCCAAAATCAGTCTTGAAGATCAAAAAAGCCTGCATCATCCTGTAATTATTTGATTAGTTCAATAATGTTAAGTATATATTCAATGCTTGTGAAGATGGGAACAACTATTTGGAAAAAAACTAGAGACAGTAAGATAGACAATGAACATCTCAGTGGACTTGCTTTGAAACCTGTGTTTCCTTAACTTGGTTCCTTATGAACTGTTCTGTTTTGTTTTGTCATGTTTAATCTGACGATCTTTAAGATAAAAAACAAGTTTGTAGAACATATAAGCATATTAATAACTTTTTGTTGGATCACTGAGGTAAAATGTTCGCAGTGTGATTATTTGAGTATCACATTCTATGCTTAATTTTGTAACTTGAACAATTACTTCTAAGATGACAATATGTAACTAATCAACTAGTGATTTCTTATTGTTTATTTTTCAGAAATTCTGTATTATTTCTACACTTTTTGGTTTTTTTTTAAATAAAAATAATTCACCAAAAATATAAAATTAAGTTTTAAAGACAAAATATTAAGTACATAGACACTATCCATACTTGAAAGTGAAAAGCCCATTTCATTTACCATGTTTAATTACAAGATGCCATGTTGAAGCACAAAGACACATTAAAAAATCTAAAGAGGTATAAGTGATTAACTGAAAACCATACAAAATGTGTACTTGAGTAGAGCTCCACTTCAGATTTGTTGTTTCTGGAAAATTTGTGAAGACATATTGACATCAAACTTCTGTATTGATTATTTCTTCAGGTCTTCTTAGAACTTTTAAAGTAAACTTAGATCTAAACTGTCTGAAGAGTGCTGCTTTTTCTATGTATTTAACAATAAACATGGATTGCCATATTTCTCACACTGTTAATACACATAGGATCTAGTGAGCTCTTTCAGATATGTAACAGTGATCAGGTGTGCTGAGAGTATTCCCATAACATATAGGATTTATCTCTTGTGTGATTTTCTTCGTGTATTTCACTTACAATCTGGCTGCTGAAAATGTCTCCACTTGCTTACGTAGCCATCCCAGTGTGAATTGTTTCATGTGTTTTGCAATGACTGTATGTGTTAAAAGCTTTGCCACATTGTTATGTGCATAGGGTTTCTCACCAGTGTGGAGTCATTGATGTCTTTTACAAAATCCATGTGTGGTGAAAGCTTTCCCACATTCTTCACATAAACAGGGTTTCTCAACAGTGTAAATTTTTTTCATTTATTGGACAATGAGCATTTCTGCTGAAACCTTTCCCAAATTCATTACATATATAAGATTTATGCCCAGTGTGAAGATTTTCATGCATTATGCAATATGTACTTGTGCTCAAAAAATTCTCATGATGTTTATATACACTGGTTTTAACTTGAGTGTGAACTTTCATGTTACTTACAATGTCCATGTTGGGTAAAAGCTTTCATATATAGGCTTTACATATATAGGGTTTCTCTCCAGTGTGAATTCTTTCATGTTGCTTACAATGTCTATGTTGGGTAAAAGTTTTCCCACATTTCTTACATACATATGGTTTCTGGTCAGTGTGAATTCTTTCATGTTCCTTACACTGTCGATGTGTGTTAAAAGCTTTCCCACATTGCTTACATACATAGGGTTTCTCTCCAGTGTGAATTCTTTCATGTTCCTTACAATATCTATGTGTGGTAAAAGCTTTCCCACATTGCTTACATACATAGGGTTTCTCTCCAGTGTGAAACCTTTCATGTCTTTTACAATCTGCCTGTGTGTTAAAAGCTTTCCCACATTGCTTACATACATAGGGTTTCTCTCCAGTGTGAATTCTTTCATGTCGCTTACAATGTCTATGTCGGGTAAAAGCTTTCCCACATTGCTTACATACATATGGTTTCTCACCAGTGTGAATTCTTTCATGTTCCTTACACTGTCTGTATCTGTTAAAACCTTTCCCACATTGCTTACATACATAGGGTTTCTCTCCAGTGTGAATTCTTTCATGCTTCTTAAAATATCCCCGTGTGTTAAAAGCTTTCCCACATTGCTTACATACATATGGTTTCTCTCCAGTGTGAATTATTTCATGTTGCTTACAATTTCCATAATGGGTAAAACCTTTCCCACATTGCTTACATACATATGGTCTCTCTCCAGTGTGAATTCTTACATGAACCTTGCAACATGCACGTGTTTTAAAAGCTTTCCCACATTGCTCACATACATATGGTTTCTCTCCAGTGTGAATTCTTTCATGTTGCTCACAAGCTCCATGATGGGTAAAACCTTTCCCACATTGCTTACATACATAGGGTTTCTCTCCAGTGTGAATTCTTTCATGTTTCCTAAAGCTCCCCATGTGTTAAAAGCTTTCCCACATTGCTTATATATATATGGTTTCTCTCCAGTGTGAATTCTTTCATGCTTCTTAAAATATCCCTGTGTGTTAAAAGCTTTCCCACATTGCTTACATACATAGGGTTTCTCTCCAGTGTGAATTCTTTCATGTTCCTTACAATGTCCATGTCGGGTAAAAGCTTTCCCACATTGCTTACATACATATGGTTTCACTCCAGTGTGAATTGTTTCATGTTGCTTACAATGTCCAGATTTGATGAACCCTTTTCCACATTGCTGACGTACATAGGATTCCTGTCCACTGCAATATTTTTCATGGATCTGAACATTGTGGTGTGTTTCTGCTTCTTTCACATTCACATTACCTTCTTCAGTACAAAGGAATACTTCTTTACACTGATTCCAAGATGTATGTCCATAGGATTGCCCTAGCTTGTCATTTCTGTAAAAAAAAAAATCACATATCAGATTGATAACCATATTACTAAGTTTTTATTGGAGATTTGAACAAAATTTTTTTGCAGTCTCACTGTTTGAATCCCCACTTCATATGTTTCACTTTTGTATTTCATTATTTCTATGAGCAGCATATGTAATCATTGTCTTTAGATTTCTTACTGTTTATTTTCACTTTGAAAGTGGTATCATTTCTACTTATTTTGTTCTTTTTTTTTAGTTTTTCCTCACATTAAATAAAAAAATAAGAAACATTCACAGTGAAATGGGTCTCAGTTTAATGACTGCATTAATGTCAACTTCTGTTTTTAATGCCTGCTAAGAAATTCTGACCATGAAATAACAGAATGGCCTTGTAAGACATGTTGAAAACAACCATTCCCAAAAGAATGCTACACATTTGGAAATCTTAAAATTTGATACCTTTTGAAATGCAGAATCCTTATCTTGACTTTGGGCATGGGTACATATGTGTATCACATACAGATCATTATGATATGTTTGCCCATCACAATCTCCCTTCTGTCCTTAACCTGTAGTTCCCTTTTCCATATGGTCAGTCTTACTTTTCTCTATTAACTCTTTCATTTCATTCCACAATTTATATTTTGGTTTCTCATCTAAAAGAAACCCTGTGAACTTTTAGGTTTTATAGCTGAACTATTTCACCAAATTGATGGGACAAAAAACCACCTATTTCTTATGGCAAATGACATTATATTATTTATTTTTTGACATTATATAACACATTTTTTTCTTTTCCATGCTGGGAATGAACGACAACTATTAGCATAAAATCTATAGCTTTTTAAATCTGTTTTAAGACATTTTCGCTGATCATTAAGCTGTGAAGTTTGAACTTGAATTTGCCATTCTGCAAAATCTGATTCCTTGTGTGCTGGATTTACAGGTATGCACAATCACAGAGAGTCTATTAACATTTTCCTTCTCCACAAATCCAGTGATAGATAGCTAAGCTTCTTCAAGGCCTGATCTAGTATAACTTGATTTGCTTTGTATATGAGCAAGCATGTATTGCTATTTTAAGTGCATTTTGAATTTTTAAAATATATCCAGAACAAGTATGAGGGGATCAATTTCTAGAGACAACTGCACACTGATATTCAGAATGAGTGCACTTAACATTCCACCAGCCTTCTAAGAATTTTAGTCAAAATGGCTGATTCTTTAGAGGATGGCTTGGAAACACAAGAACTCCATTTTATTTCAAATTCTATTGCAATCTTAGCAATTTTTAGATGATGAATGTGTTGTATTCACATGTATATATGGGTAGAAAAACTGAAGGGAGAATGTTATAACTCAAAGTGTATGCCTTTCATAAACATCTATATGCAATGTCATACATTTTCTTGATTTAATCCACTCATTATACATACCCTAGCTTATACATCTTCAGAGAATATTACTGACATTAAATTGAATATTGCCTCATTTCTTTGGCGGCATTTTTCTGCTGACTCACTAATTACTCAGGAACATTCCTTCTTCTTATGAGTGCAAATTACCTTAAGTATCTCCAGTAAATTTTGCATTCTTTTTCAGCTTCCTGGATATCCCCAAGTCCTCCTGAATTGTAGACATAGAAATACCAGTGCTCATTAGAATAATACATACAAATTAATAGATTTTGTTTAGAGTTATGATATAATGTGTCCAGGTCTGAGCTATTTTTAAAAATATTTTCACATTGTTTTTAATGAAACAGCACTGATGCGTGACATACAACATTCTGAAAGCATGAGTAACAAAAGTATTTTGTCCTTACCTATTACAGTCATGTTCCTAAAGGTTTCGCCCATCACATCTCTGTAGAGCTTCTTTTGGGATGGACTCAGCAAAGTCCACTCCTCATTGCTGAAGTTCACGACCACATCCTCAAAGGTCACTACCTCCTAAAGGATCGATCATACATATATTTCTCACATGAATATTGAGACACCAGGTTTGGGATATCTTAAATTCTCTCCTACAAATCTGAATCAAAAGCAAAGTGTGGTGATATGTATCTATAATTCCAGCACTCAAAATGCTGAGGCAGGATTGTTTCAGTGAGTTCAGGGCAATTCTAGCCTCCATAGGGTGTTCAAATCCAGCTGATATACATATAGAAAGCTTGTCTCAATAAAACAAAACAAAACTAAACAAATACAACCAAACAAAACAGCTGAATGAAGACTGATTTCTTCAAATTTAAATCATGTCTTGGTCATTAATTTTGTGTATATACACATTTTTGAAAACAGCAAATTTGATGATAGATTGCAACTCACTGCTAATGTAAGAGTGAAATAGGAGCACTGATTCTTGTGCTGAGTCACTGCAATAGTCCCTGTGTTCTGTCTCTAATGCAGAGCTCACAGTGAAAAGCCTGTAGGACCAGCATCCACAAAGCACAGAGGCAGATAAATATCCCATCAATCAACTGTGAAGCCAAGCAAGCACCACTTCTCCCTGGTAAGCAGTGGTGGTCTGGCAGAATGTGGCCCTTCCAGGGGGAGAACCAGCAGCAGCTCCTGAGACCCACACCATGTGGGATCTTAGGATGCTGTGAAACCAAACAACTGGCCTGTCTCCCTACTAAGCAGTAGTGAACCTACAGATGCACGGCCTAGAATCAAACATCCCACTTCCCTACCCCTCTTCTCCTGTCATCCCCCCCCCCGCCCGTTAGCAAATGGGAAACAGAAATCTGAGAGTCTCCTGGGAAGCAGACCATAACAAATAAGGGGGATTTCCTTCTAGTATCTCTTTGAAGGCAAATATATTTGTTGCTGTTTTGCTCTATTCTGAGTAATGGTATTGCTCTATTCAATATTCTGTTTTGATAAGTACTATAATGTTCTGTATTTCATCTCATTTTGAGATACGTGTTTGAAAGAACAACTATTGGGACTGGGGATTTAGCTCAGCGGCATAAGCACCTGCCTTGCAAGCAGACAGTCGTGGGTTCGATCCCCGGTACCGATAAAAAGGAAAAAGACAAAAAAAAAAAAAAAAAAGAACAACTATTATAAAGATAATAAAGTATACTGTGATACCTATTACTGTTATCGCAGTAACCAGTTGTGAAGTTGTGTACCATTTTCACTGTATGATCTTAGTTGGCCTTATTCTGCCTTGTTCTGTTGTATTTTACCACTTTCAAAATTTAAAAAAAGAAAAAAAATCTCATCAATCACTTTGATAGGCTGCAGATAATGTCTCTTCAAATCTCATTTAGGCCAGTGAAAACTTTGTTCTTAATATACTTCAGCAGCATTTTGAAACATGACTTTGGTTTCATAGAACAAAACATAAATAACATCCAATACGGTACACAAATAATAACTCAAATGTTAGTGAAAAATGCTGTTTTTAAAAAATAAGTATATATAATGGAACGAGGCCCAAGCTGTAATTTATAGCTCACTGTCACCAAGCGTTGACTTTCAATTCACATATAAGAAATATGTCCTGTGAGGCTGGTGAAGGACTTCTTCCTTGAATTTGGGGATATCCTAAGTTACAGAGCTGTCTAACATAGAGAAACCCTGACTGTGACACCCCACAGACAAAGTGAAACTTAAAAAGAGACTGCATAAGACACCTTTGGTTTGCTTTTAAAAATTATAGCCATACAATATGGAAAAATTCCAACAGTATTCACACTTTCTGAGAAACAATGTGGATATCTGCCATACAGCAAAGAAAACACTTGCATAGTTCCATTGCAGAGCATTTCCATATTTAAACTGTCTATGAACAACCAAGCCACTAAATCAGCTCTTAATTCAGAGATCACACACCTATTCCTTTCCACTCAGAAGGATATCACGTGTATATGTCAATGCAAATGCCTAAATTTCAGCATTTTTTAATGAGAATTTAACAGGTAGCCCTTTCAGGAATTTGTCCTTCACAAATTTTTACCCCGTCCTTGATAACACTTTCACATTTGCTTCATTATTCTCAGACTTCAAAACTCTATGGCTGATCTCACAAACCTAGTCTGTGAGCAAGGGCGCCACCTAAATAATTAAGTATGTTCAGAAATTATTTTGCACTGATCTGTATAATACACAGGAGTTCATGAGTTGTTTGGGAAGCCTTTTTCCACTGAGGCACACTACTACACATCTCTGAATTCTCAGGACCTTTGCCACTACCTGTCATGAGGATGGAAATATGAGAACATACTATAAATTGAGGAGATCGCTACAAATACAAAAAAGCCCAAGTTTAAGTTGAGCCATTGTGGCTATGAGGCCCTGCATTACAGACATTAATAAACTTTGGACATTCCAGATCTGCTACTATGAGGAAAGAGAACAGAGACCTAGCTCATTACTGCTCTACAAGCTACAAAAACATCATAGTCAGGGTCTTCTCAAGCTCCTTCCAATGCCTAAGATTGTGGAGTTACCAGGCCAGCAGTGAATTTCAAAGATGATACTTGAGTCTGCTGCTGTCATAGTGAAGCCAGGGTTCTGGGGACCCCAAATCACCCTTGCCAACAGCAAGAGGCAAAAGGGACAGTGAATGACCCATGGACAATGCTGGAGGACCTCAGGAGCTGAAGCTAACTAAATACCTGAGGCTCCAGACACCGGAATTACTTCTAAATACTTGTAACTGGTTTCACCGCATCCACCCTATCTCTGGGCTTCCATCCACAACCTTACCATTCCATGGCTCCAGGATCTCTCAGGTTCTTTGCTAATCAGGCCACAG